TATACCGGAATACTAATAAACACCCACTACAGCAAACTTCACATGAGGACTATGAGTAAAATTTCTTCAACAAGGGATACACATCATCTCCTCTCCCACCCCTTGGGAAATCGGACCACAACTTGGTTCATCTCCTTCCCATGTACAAACCTCTGGTCCACAGACAGCCAGCTGTCACCCGCACAGTCAAGAGATGGTCCAAGGAAGCTGAGGAGGCTCTCAAGGACTGTTTTGACACAACGATGTGGGAAGTGTTCTCTGAGGATCACGGGGAGGACATCAACAACCTCGCACACTGCATCGCTGATTATATTAATCTATGTGTGGATTACACGGTGCCCACCAGGGCTGTACACTGACACAAACAGCAAACCCTGGATTACTCCTGATATAAAGGCTCTCCTAAAGGACAAACAGAGAGCTTTCAGGTCAGGAGACAAGGAGTAAATGAGGACTGTGCAGAGGAAGCTGAGGAAGAAGATCAGAGAGGGGAAATGCAGCTACAAGAAGAAGATGGAGGATCAGCTGCTGCAGAATAATGTCAGCAGGTCTGGAGGGGCCTGAAAACCATCTTTGGCCACAAAGACCCCAAGACTGACCTGAAAAGGGACCAGGAGTGGGTGAATGACCTGAACACCTTTTTTTGAACAGGTTTGAACAGCCAGCCACCCTTCCCCCGGCTCAGTCCACCCTACAGCAGCCATCACTGTATTTGTCTTCACCCCTGGCTGACTGCACCACCTCCGCTGTATCCCTCCCTCCTCCACCACAGCTCTCCTACCATCACACCTTCCCTCCCCCACAGGGCTCCACACTCACAACCAGCACACAGCCCCCTTCCCCAACTTGTCCCTATCAACAACCCAGGTGAAGAGAGATCTGAGCAGGCTGAAGATCAGGAAGGCCATTGGTCAAGATGGCATCAACTCCAGGCTCCTCAAATCCTGCGCAGATCAGGTGAGTAGGGTTGTGGAGCATGTCTTCAACATGAGCCTGAAGCTGGGGAGAGTACCACAGCTGTGGAAGACATCCTGTGTGGTACCGGTGCCGAAGATCTCACACCCCAAGGACTTCAACCACTGGTGGCACTGACATCCCACCTGATGAAGACCCTGGAGAGGTTGGTCCTTTGTCATCTGCGAACCCTGGTGGGCTCATCAATGTTTGCCCACCATCCCAGCATCAGTGTGGATGATGCAGTGATCTACCTGATGCACAGATGCCTCTCTCACCTGAAGATGATGAAGAGCACTGTGAGAATCATGTTTTATGATTTCTCCAGTGCCTTCAGAAGTGCAGACTTGGTGGTACCAAATCTGCACTTCTGAGGCACAAGCTGGAGCAGACGGGAGTGGACTCTCAACACACAATGTGGCTGCTGGATTACCTCACCAACCGGCCACAGTTTGTGAGGGCAGGGGACTGTGTGTCCAACACTGTGGTCTGCAGGGGACTGTCCTTGCCCCCTTTCTTTTCACCCTCTACACTGCAGACTTCTCTCATCAAACTACGAACTGCCATCTTCAGAGTTCTCTGACAACTCTGCCATCGTTGGCCTCATCACTGAAGGAGATGAGAAGGAGTACAGAGAACTTAATCAGGACTTGGTGGACTGGTGCCTGCTGAACTGACTCCAGATTAAAAACCAAGGAACTGGTGGTGGAATTTAGCAGGAACAGGCACAATTCTGCTTCACCAGTGAACATCCAGGGAACAGACATTGAGATTGTTGACTCTTACAAATACCTGGGTGTTCACTTGAACAATAGCCTGGACTGGACTGCTAACACCAATGTACTCTTCAAGAAAGGTCAGAACAGACTGCACCTGCTCAGAGAACTGAGGTCCTTTGGGGTGCAGGGAGCACTTCTGAGAACCTTCTACGACTCTGTGGTGGCATCAGCTGTCTTGTATGGAGTGGTCTGCTGGAGCAGCAGCATCACAGCTGCAGACAGGAAGAGACTAAATAAACTGAATACGAAAGCCAGCTCTGTCCTGGGCTGCCCCCCTGAACCTGTGGAGGTGGTGGGAGAAAGAAGCTATGATGACAAAGCTTTTGTCCATCATGGAGGACACTTCCCACACCCTGTAGGAAACAGTAAGATCACTGGGCATCTCCAGCTCACAATGCCCTGAGCATCCGACAGTTCCTCGCTGAAAAGAACATCACCATGCTGGAGTAACCTCCCTACTCACCTCACCTGGCTCCTTGTGATTTTCCTCTTCCCCAGGCTCAAGGGGGTCATCAAGGGGATCCGTTTTAAAGACGTGGACAACATCAAGATGGCTGTGACAATGGAGCAGAGGAGGATCCCAGAAGAATCCTTCCAGGGGTGCATGGCGGCATAGCAGAGAAGGCTAGGAAAGTGCGTTAGACTCCAGGGGGATTACTTGGAAGTTAAAAATTAGTAGTTTGGCTTTGAAATATACCTTTTGTGACACCAGTCCTGAAACTTTTCTGACAAAGGTAGTTTATACACATTTGATTTACTCATATATCACTGACGAGATAACAGACTGTGACAGCTTTGAAGCATTTGATGATGAGATGGAGCGAGTGAAGTGTAAATCACTGACAGATCGATGGATCACCTGAGTTAATGTGTTAAGGTGTGGATATCTGTAAAGTGTGCAGTCATGTATGCATGCATGTGAGTGATAAATGCTTAAAGACTTCTGCTGCTGCTCAGCGGATGTGTGGACTCGAAAGGTTGAGGATGGTTTGAAAGGCTGTTTACTGGGAGATCTTCAAAGCTTGCAGTCCGTTCACACCAGAATTTCGAATTAAAGCAAAGTTTCGTGAGGAAATCAGTGAACAGTCCATCCATTATCTATACACCGCTTAATCCTCACTAGGGTCATGGGGGGGCTGGAGTCTATCCCAACTGACTTAGGGCGAAGGCAGGGAACACCCTGGACAGGTCGCCAGTCTATCAGAATTTAGAATCACCGATTAACCTCAACATGTTTTTGGACTGTGTGGGAGGAAGCCGGAGAACTCGGAGAGAACCCACGCTGCACGGGGAGAACATGCAAACTCTACGCAGAAAGATTACGGTGCCCCCACCGGGACACGAACCGGCAACCTTCTTGCTGCGAGGCAACTGTGCTAACCAACTGCGCTACCTTGCAGCCCTCAGTGAACAGTTCACATTCAAATTTTTACCTCATGTTACAGAATTTTTTTATTTTTTTTAAAATGTGGTTTCCTTTTTATACTTGTGTGTTATTATCAGCTGAACAGTCTTCTATAAAGCACTTTGAACTGCAGTAACCTGTAAAAAAAAAAAAAAGCAAGACATGAGGACTTATTGATTGTTAGAAATGCAAAATTGTGTCATGGGCCAACAGCATACTGCTGCCACCGTGCTTTAAATGGAGACAAATCTGTTTTATCACATTTTGAAATGTAAAGTTAAAAAATGTCAAGCTTGGCTGAATCCAGGTCTATGGAGTCAGAACAGTGAGTTCATTTTGGTACTTTAAATAAACCTGGAATTAAAAATAAAACCTTAACTAGAAAAGGAAACATGAGCATTGAGAAAAGATGCAGCAGGGAAAAAATTAAATAAATAAAACTAAATGTTGCAGTCAAGGGTAAAATAATTGTGCAGAAAGTATAGCTTTTAATAGAACAAATATTCTCACAAATGATTGAAGGATGTAGATATCCATTGTTTGATTATTAACTTTAAATCCTACTTTCTTATTTCACTGACATAGAGAAAAGTCTGGTTTGTTTCATGATCACAATTCTCAAATTTGTTCTTAAAGTCAATCCTTTAACACAGACTTTTTTTTAATTAAGCTGACAATTCCCTCTCATTGTCACTGCTTTTCAGTTTCAGTGTGTGTGTTGTGGATCAATGACAGTGCTGTGTGATATGTTTATAATTTGTGTTTGATTTGCATACAGCGAAGAGTTCACTCTTCCACCCACATTTCATTACTGCTGTAAACCCTGTCCACTTTGAAAACAACCCAATCATATTCAAAGAATTTGATTTAAATCCATTTATAGCTAAACAGTTTCACAGTTTTGTAAAATTGTCGAATACAAAATAATTTCTTTCAAAAGGACATTTTGGCAGGTCACCCTGGTTGAGCTGGTGTCCCATGTGCAGGGCTACAGTCCCGATGTGGAGGTCATGAGTTCGAATCCCGCTCATGGCCCTTTCCCACACATCCTCCCCCCATTCTTCTCCCCCACTTTCCTGTCTCTCTCTCACTGCACTATCAAATAAAGGCCAAAAAAATTATTAAAAAAAAACAAAACATTTGGACTAGAGTCATGAAACAATGCAAACAGGTGACAGGACAGGCTGGACCACTGAGGGACAAGGGGAACAAATGAACAACAACAAAACAAAAAAAAAACCCTAATCCTAAAATTTACTGAAGGGTTAACTGAGGTAAGCAGAGGAACAAACAATTGTGGCTAGAGAGAACTAAAGCAAACTAATCCAAAACCCACAAAGACACGGATGCCTGAACAGACACAGAAAGCACTGGTAATCAACAGGGAGGTGAACAGCCAAACTGGGGGGAGAAACACAAGACTAAATACACCAAAGTATCTGGACCAAGTGGAAACGATCAGGAAGAAGACAAAGGTGGGAAGTAAAACCAACTAAAACACTCAAGAAAGGCAACTATAAAGTAGGAAATAAGCTACAACCAAAACCAAAGAAAATTGCAAACATATCATAGAGAATCTAAAAAACTGGTCATGAAAAGCTTCCTCCCTTGATAAGCGTTTGTGTGGGTGGATGAAGAGTGTTTGCTTACGGAGAACGAGAACTCCATGGCGAAGTGACTGAGCGCGGTTGGACTCCACGGTGACGTTCAGCATGGTGGGATTTCCCCCGATGATGCAGACACGGTTGTCTTGCTCCGCCTCGCGAAACATCCGCAGCAGCTGATTGGCTATGACTCCGTTCAGCACCGATATGGCCACCATGGGCACCACAAAAGACAGGAACGCATTCACCTGTTCAGGGAGACACAAGACAAACGCTGGTTCACGTTTAAGGCTGATGAAGAAAGTCATTTTCTTTTGTTTTGATGGTCACAGACCCCTGATTTCCTCCCCTGTTGCCATGTGTTTTCCCATCACCTTTTGTCATGTGTTTTCCCACCTCCTGTCACAGACCCCCAATTCCACGCCCTGTTGTTCATTGTCCCCTTACTGCCTGCCATTCGATTAGCAACTGTATGCTATCAGAACCCCGACTCCACCACCCGTCTGTCACCAGACTCCGATTTCATCACCTGTGGTTCATTGCCCCCCCTTACCTCCAGTCATTTGATTAGCAACTGTATGTTAATTTGCTTCTATTCACCTCTGTATTTACATACTCCCTACCCTCTGACTTACAGTATAAATGTGTGACTCTGCAGATGTTCAGGGTCGGTCCACCTTCACAGACTCATGCTCTGTGTTGGTGAGCCCAGCGTATACCGGGATACTAATAAACACCCACTACAGCAAACTTCACATGAGGACTATGAGTAAAATTTCTTCAACAAGGCCAACACACTGTTGAAAGTCAGGTGAAATATATAATGCGATTTGTTTATCTTGACAATGGCCCTCTAGTTGGACGGTTGCTCTGCCCAGTAGTTTAGAAAAGGGAACAAGACACAATATGGTGCAGGAGGGCACAATGAAATGATAAAGTAAAAGTCAGCACCAGTCAAACAGTGGAAACCCATGTGGAAAATGTCCAGCTATCCATCCATTATCTATCCTCTCTCGGGTCAGAGAGAACCCACACTGCACAGGGAGAACATGCAAACTCCATGCAGAAAGATCCCAGTGTCCCCACCGGGACGCGAACCAGGAACCTTCTTGCTGCAAGGCAACAGTGCTAACCAACTGCGCCACCCTGCAGCCCATGTGGAAAACGTACCCAATAAAAACCTATCCCAATCACTTAATAAATCAACGGTTGGAAGATTAAAATTCTATTGTACTGATTTAGACCAGTTACTGAAGTTGCAAAAATTACATCAATGGGTTGATATAACAGAATAGAACAGAGTAGAATAGTTCTTTATTGTCACTGTGGAAGCAACGTTGAAAAGACAGTTTTACAGTAGTGAAATATTGTTGTAGCATCCTCTGGAAGCAATACAACAAGTAAACACACAAGTAAAAAGAAACAATGTGAGAGGAAAACTAACTAACTAAATATATATATATATATATATATATATGGCAAGCCGTTTAGGAAAATTCTATATATATATATAATGAAAGTCTGAATATATGGAATGAAAGTCTGAATTTCTGATATTCAGACTTTCATTATATATATTCAGAGTTTCATTCCATATATTCAGACTTTCATTATATATATTCAGACTTTCATTCAATATATTCAGACTTTCATTATATATATTCAGACTGTTACATATATACATAATTTCCTAAACGGCATGCCATATATATATATATATATATTAAAGCAAAGACTATGAAGAAAAGGAGTTATTTACAGCACAGACTAATGATGTTGATAATTGCATCAACCTAATATTGTTTAATTTAGACTCAAATTTCTGCATTAGTTGACATAAAACTAAAATCCAAGTTGAGGTAACTGAATGAAATTGGCTTAAAAATTACATTTTTCTTCAAGTTGCTACCTTTATCTTAACATGCCTCAATAATTTTACACAGTTAAAACTGGTAATTAGAGTTACCTTTGATTGCAGAGACAAAAAAAATAATATAATAATTTTTTTTTTTTTAGACTGTATACAGAAATAATGTATATTTCTGTTTGCTTTCCATATTTAAAAAGCATCAAATGCATCATAAGGTTAAAAACGACCTTAGCCTATTGACTTACTAAGGGAATCACATCTTCTTAGTTTATCATGCTTTTGGGTAACAGGGCCCGATGTTTATTAATTAATTTCTTTATTTATTTTATAATTTTTACACGTTTGGTCTTAAAGTAGTGGCTTCCAGTGTTTCCACTCAGGTTTATTAAAAATGTGCATGAAAACGTACGGAGAGAAACAACTTACAGACATATGCAACAAGTGACAAGTGGTAAAAATTCAAGCTGCATCTAACAATTACTATAAGGAACCATTTATTCTCTTGATACATAGTTAAGCCTCTTAAAATGTCAGTGCTAATCACAACTTCCCACAGCCTGAGATGGCATAATGTTTTCTCTAAAATATTTTGGTTATTCTCACAAAAGCAAAATTTTGTTAGCACACATTTTTTTAAATTAAAAGCCATCTTAGATAATAAATTATTTTTTTCTTGCTTTCTCATCAAATAATTTCAGCGTCATTTTTCTTATATTTGTTTTCAGAGGTCGACACCTTTGGTTGATTCTACGTACAGCTTTGGAGACACCTAATCACTCAAGAACTTCTCATTGTTTTAACTATTTTAAACAGTGTAGAACAAAACAGAAGACGTCAAAACTATGAAATAACACATGAAGTTATGAAGTAAACAAATAAATAAATAAATACAAATAAAAATTGTAGCAATTTCCCCCACTGTTGTAAATTAATATTGAACTATTATTTTTCTGTACTTAGCTGAGTACTTCCTGCCTTCACTGGATTACTGCAGCTGCTCAAAGGGGCTGTTTGCTTTACACTGTACCAACACTACCTCAAATACAAAATATTGGTGTTCCTACTCGGAACACCACAATTTGACTTCTGTAAAAGCTGTTGGGTTTCTCCTGAAGGGGCTGCTGTGTCCATGTGCGCCGCCATAAGAGTGCACTCATAACAAAATGTGGCTTCGTTGTTTTATCTGTTTGTCAGGTAATGTGTGAAATGTGGAATGATATTGTACATCACATAAGTTCCAAAGCTCTGTGATTTTCAATGAATATAACATAAATTAAATTAAACTCTATTCACTGAAACATTTCTTATGTATTACATGAGTTGTGAAGGAATGTATTGACCACATCCAAACACTTAAACTCAGTCACAACTTGCATATTTCACCTTGAAATCTGTGAATGTGGATCTGAAGTGATGCACAACTGCTTTGAGAAGACAAAACTAACAGTTTGGTTACATTAAGTTGGAAACATGATCAGTTTAGCCACTCTGTAAAATTACTGACCATCCTCATAAATTCTGCTTTGTACTTATGTGTGCATAAATCACTGTCATCTGCACATTGCTGAACTTTTACATCGAGAGTAGTGACTCGTCAGATGAGGCCTGTGGATATAAGCCTGCTATTAGCTGCACGTTTCACATGACCTCCTCCTCCCCTTCTACATTTATCAAAATCCCTTTAATTACAGATAATAATAACAACAACCTCCAGGCCAGCAAAGTGCAACACTGAAAATTTAAAGTCTTGTCTATGGATTTGGATTGTGTAGAAAGTTTTTTCTCTGTGCCATTTCAATGACAGCACTCACCTCACTGCTTTGAATGAACACCATTGGTGCATCCTAGATTTATCTCCACCCAAGATGATTGCAAATGGTTTAAAGAAATACAAGCAAGCCAGAAAAACCACAAACTGATTCCCACTACAGCAGAATAATGAGGTCCTGCCAGACCAATGGAATGGCTTGGCTATGGACATCAGGACAAACAGAAGGTACATAGAAACTAAATGAAAATGGCCTGAATATAAATTCTTGAGAGACACCAACAGTGATGTTAAGAACAGTGGATTTGTGATTAAGAAGCTAAATGAAAGTAAATATTAGGTTGCATGTTATAGCTTCCACTTCTTTCTTTTTCTCTGTTTCAATTTTAACTTTTTGATGAAGTCAGTGAGCATGAGCATTGCTATTTCTAAACAAATATGAATTTATATGCAAATATTAGAGATTACTACTTGAGTTCAACCACTGTGTCAATTGTTGGAAAATCTATTAAAAAAAAGAAAGAGTATTAGAGGAGGAAAAGTGCAAAATGAGAGGAAGTGAGAGAGAGGCATGCTAAACAAGGTACAAAGAGTGGTGGAGGAACCCATTAAGGTGAACTGGATGACAACAGTTTGAGTCACAGATGACTTTACAATCATAAAAAAATAGCCTAAAATAAAATTTTCTTTTTGAGAAACACTTGAAAAACACTCAGTGTGAGTGTCACTGAGTGTTTTTCAAGTGTGAAATATTTTATGAACGCCAACTTTGATTACATTCAGAATGGAGAGTTTTGGACCAATAATTATTTTCACACTGTGTTGCCTTCGCTGCTGATGGAACACAAAAGAGGGAGAAGAAAGTGAGTGGTGACAATTAATGAGAGAGAAAATGGAAAGAACAAAAAGAAAAATGAGAGAGGGGGGTGCTACGAGATATAAGTTATTACACCGACTTCTTGTTGCTGTGGAAATGCTAGTAAAGGGGAAACGTGCATGAATACATGAAGTGTTCATTTGTGTAGATATGGGCTTAATCAATGTATGGCATTCCCTACACATTCACACAGACTAAAACACTCAAGGGATGGAGAGCTGTTGTTTTTCTAAGGGATAATCATGGATGAAAAATGTTAATGGCTTTAATGAACAGGCTGGCTGACTTCTGAGGTTCCCCTGCCTCCTACACACAAATGACTGATTAAAGTTGAAAAGCAGAGCAGAAGAAAAGCAACAAGGCTATCCCTGCCTTCAGCGTGAGACCAAACTCTGACTTCAGTAGGAAAAAAATGTTGTGAAAAGCATCCCAAAAACTGGAGATAATGTGGAGTATTGAAAGTGAAGCGCAAGGAAATGAAGATATTAGACAAGAGGGATTAAATGGGGAAAAATAACAGCAAAAATTATTAATCATAGTGAAGCCTGAAAGTTAGTTTTGTCATTTTGATGCAATGACATCTCATCTTTAAATGAATATGTTGTAGGCTGACAAAATCTGCAGAGTTTGATGTTACCTTTACTAACTGCCTCCACGGTGCACAATATATAACGCTTATCGAGCCAATTTTCTAATTTACTTTCTTGTCACGGAAGATTTACGACTAACTCTT